GGTCAAGTTACCGAGCGAGTGCAGACGATCGGTTGCGTTGTGTACATATGCAGTGAGCCACCAGCACTGTGAGAAACTGTCACGTTGTAAACGTTGTTACTTGCGACAGATACTAGGACGAAAACCACTCCAGTACCTGACCGTCCCCGTCGTGTGAGGGACCCACATACCGACTTATTGTGGATAGTCGTACATACACATACTCAGCGAGCTAGCGAGCGTTACTTGTTCTCTCCACCGGAGGGGAGAGTCTTGCAACGTTAAAATGCGTGTCAGTGTGTGTGTTAGTGTGTGTGTGTGTCCAAACACTCACTATTGTTGGTCAGTATATTATCCAGTAGATACGCAGATCGTTAGATGGCGCTGCGTGACGGACGTACATACATATCATCTTGTGGGACTGTGACGGACGTACATACATATCATCTTGTGGCAGTGTGACGGACGTACATACATAGCATCTTGTGTGAGTGTGACGGACGTACATACATATCATCTTGTGGGAGTGTGACGGACGTACATACATATCATCTTGTGGCAGTGTGACGGACGTACATACATATCATCTTGTGGCAGTGTGACGGACGTACATACATACCATCTTGTGTGAGTGTGACGGACGTACATACATATCATCTTGTGGCAGTGTGACGGACGTACCTACATATAATGACTGCTTGGTGTGACGGACGTACATACATATAATGACTGCCCGGTGTGACGGACGTACATACATATAATCACTGCCCGGTGGGACGGACGTGACTGTCGGTCCGTACATTCATGTACTGACGAGTGAGTGTGACTCACAGATATATAAGCACGGTACGTACACACGGTGGGTACACACGGACATTGCAACATAGTGTGACGGACGTGCATCCGCGTATTGCATGACACTCCGTGGATAATTCGCACGCGAACTCCGATCGAAGGGAGGTGTGAGCTTTATCGATGATTCAAAGCCATGGATTGTCGTTCACACTGTGTTACACACTTACATACACACATAGAATTACACTGTGTGTGACGGACATGCAAACACACAGATACTCAAATAACGGGCGAGCCTATTATTAAGGACCATCGATATTACTACGACGGACATACATATGCATTTACACTATTGTGAAGGCACATACACAAAGATGCTAGTATGACGGACGTACCTACACATATTGCAGGACACATTGTGGACAGCCCTGTAGCGAACACCAACCGGAGGGAGCTGTGAGATTGAGATATAAGTTGATAAGGTGAAGTTACTGAGCGAGTGCAGACGATGCGTTGCCCTGTGTATATATGCAGCGAGCGATCAGCACTGTGAAAAACTGTGACCTTGTAAACGACGTTACTTGCGACCGATACTGGGACGAAAACTAGTGCACTAGCTGATCGATCCCGAACACTGTGTGTGGAACCTACATGAAGACATATTGCGGATAGTCGTACATCCACATACTCGAAAACATATTCTGGATAGTAGCCTAGCGAACGCCGACCGATGGGAGGTGCGAGCCTTCCCTTTGATTCAAACTGACTCAAGGTCGTTCGCATATATCAGTTCGTAAAGTCAGAGGCGGTACCTTGTGTATCCAGGGAGTATTGAACAGTCTGAACAACAATCGCGTTGCAAACGACCATTATCTACGACCGCTACTACACCGAACACTAGACCACTAAGCTGAACGGCATGGAATCTTCGGTGGAGAGTAAGCGAGCTAGCGAGCGTTACTTGTGACTATTCTCTCCACCGGAGGGGAGAGTCTTGCAACCTTAAAATGCGTGTCAGTGTGTGTGTTAGTGTGTGTGTGTGTCCAAACACTCACTATTGTTGGTCAGTATTATCCAGTAGATACGCAGATTGATAGATGGCGCTGCGTGACGGACGTACATACATATAGTCATACGGAAGTGTGACAGACGTACACATACGGAAGTGTGACAGACGTACATACATATACTCATGTGGGAGAGTGACGGACGTACATACATATCAAATTCTGGCAGAGTGACGGAAGGACAAAAATATG